GCCTCTTGCTGCCTGAGGGTAAATTCTTCCACCAGGGCCACAGCCTGGGCGCAGGTCTCTGGATGACATTCCCAAACCCAGGTTCGTACTTCCTCTGGCAAGATGTTCAGGAATTGCTCCAGGATCAACAGTTCCAAAATTTGCTCCTTAGAACGGATCTCGGGCTTCAGCCACTGATGACAAAGTTTGTGCAAGCATCCCCAAGCCTGGCGGGGCCCCTCAGCCTCCTGGAGACCAAACTGCCTGAAGCGCTGCCGTCGAATCTCGCTACCAATATCACAGCAGCACAAGATGGCGGCCTTCACCTTCCCGTAATCTTTCCTGTCTCTGGAGCTGAGGCAACGGTAGGCCTCTCGGGCTGCCCCACTGAGGGCAGGCACAAGTCGGACTGCCCATTGCTCTCTTGGCCACTGGCAGGCATGAGCCACACGTTCAAAAGTGGACAGGTAGACCTCAATATCATCTGCCAGTGTGAGTTGTGGCACCTGGAGGTTGCCCCATGCAGGAGAGAAGGCTGATGTGACTTCAGCAGCAACTTTTTCCTGCCACTGGACTTCCCAGCTCCCTTGTGCCTCCTGGCGTTGAGTCCTGGATTGTGGCAACGCCGCCCATCTCAGAAGCTCTTCGGATGTCCCCATCTGGATAATAAAAGGGGATTTTCCTGCACCCTTCAGGTCCTCCTCTGGCAGTGAGTCTGATGGGTCCTGTTCTTCCACTTTCACCACTGGTGGTAAGCCCCGTTCAAGCAGAGTCTGACTCTGAAGACTTAAGAGTTTTGCTGTTCCTTGGTTTGCAGTCATTGTTCTCCTTATCTGTGATTTCACACCAGGATCCACCTCGTCTGCTGTGTGATGGGTGAGACAATGCTGGGAACTCCTGACCCTGAAGCTCAAATGCAAGCCATTCAATCCAACACATTTAACGGTTCCTGTGGCAGGCCTGTGAGGACACGTTGCTTCAAAGACAGCTGTTTTTCTGCTTAAGCCCCCTGGCTTCTCCCTTAGATACAGAAATGGAAACAAGCATGAGAACATATAAGGAAATATTCCCTTTCACACACACAAACACTCACCCCTTCAACAGCATTATTATAAACATAACAATTTGGCCTCAAATGTAGTTACCAGAATCAATGCAGGGCTGGGCTTCTAAGAATTCCAGCAACTGCAGCTCCTGCATTCTACACCTCAACACTATAACACAATCAAAGACCTCCTTTCTGCTCAGTATACTTTTCTTTCTCTCTCTACCCATCTGACCTACAGGTCTTGAGTAGTATTAATCAATCCCAAGTTACTGTGAGGATGTTATCCTTCTCTAATCCCCCTCTCCAAGACATAGGGTGGGTAACAGCATCCAACAATAGTTGTCGAAACACGGTTCAGAACCCAAATCTGGGTTGTGAGTGACTCTCTTCACACATGGATCTCAAGGCTAGGAAAGAGAAGGTACTGCAGTTGATCTTAGCCCAAAGCCCAAGAAGTGATGGAAGGAGAAGGGAGAATGGGGTGAACTAGGAGAGGGGGCTCTGGGAAGCTCACTGACAGCATGGCAAAAGTGACCACTTGTAGTCTGGGAGACCCAGGTTCGAATTCCCACTTTGCCATGGAAGCTCACTGGGTGGCCTTGGACCATTAAATCTCAGCCTAATCTACCTCACAGGGCTATTACTGTGAAGATAAGATGGAGGAGGAGAGAATGATGTTGTATGTCCTTTGGGTCCCCATGGGGAGAAAAGCAGTGTCATAAATATTTAAACATGGGGTTGCCTGTGCATATAAGATGCAAAAAGGCCACAGCCTGTCACTCAATAACGCTATATATGCATAAATACTAGAACAATAAAACATAAAATATCAATTATTTTCTGTATTAACTGATGTGAGCATCTTGTGTTTTATTTTGGGGAGGAGGTAAGCATTGTTGGAATTATTTTGCACGTAGATCCCCAAAAGTAGTGTAAATTTAGAAGCAAGTCCTACTTCAAAATGTTTGAGATCCCGTGTTGTACCGGAATATATTATTTATTACACTTGCACTGCACCCTTCTTTCAAAACAATGACAATGTTCACCTTGCAGGCAGATCAAGTGACGAGTATGGAAGGGGATGCCAGCCTCCAGGTGGGACCTGAGGTCTCCTGCAATTACAACTCGTCTACAGAGATCAATTCCCCTGGAGAGACTTGATGCTTTGAAGGATGGACCCTATGGCACTGTCCCCCACTGAGGCCCCTGTCCTCACCAGGCTCTGCCCCCAAATCTCCAGGAGTTTCCAGACCTGGATCTTGCAACCCCACTCCCCCATCCCCTGCCATTGGCCAGGGAGGACCTAGCAACGCTAAATGCCATGCCAAGGGCTTCCAAGCAGGGGATTTGAATCAGGCTCCAGTTTCCCTCTGCTACTACACACTACTTAAACAGCACATTTTCCAATGTCTAAAACGTTTTTCCTCCATCATTCATCTTGCCAATTAAAGTATTAGGCAGATCTTCGTTTCCTGTTTTACAAATGGAGAACTGAGGCAAAAAAGAGACCTGGATTCACAAAAGAATGGAGAAGGCAGGAACCCCCTCAGGCCACCTCCCACCTCTTTTCCTCTGGAAAACCACACTGACTAGCCCAGAACTACTTGGACCAACAAGCTTCCTGCCAAATGGACGAGCATTTAGTAATAACAACCAACACTGAGTCACTTAATATGCTGTATGTGGGGAGATTTAAAAAAAATAGCAGAGCTGTTTACTACTTTGCCCTGGAGGAAAAATTCCTCCTCAGCTTCAAACTTAAATCTCAAGTAAGACAAAGGAGCCCAGCCCTAGACACTACCCTGGCCTGAAAATTTTTACTAAAAATCTTGTTCTTTCTAATATCCCACCTACACTTATGGCTGGAGGGGGGGAGGCTCTGAAATCTTCATAGGTGATTTAATTTCCCCCTCTCACATCAATAGATATCCAATCCGAGAGGTCTATTTTTGTTGTTGGGAGATTTGGGACAGCCAGTATTGCGTACCAGAAGAATGTTGGAGTAAAATGAGAATTTAAGTCCTTGCTCAACTGTGATGCTTACTTGGGGGGTCCGGTTTGGGCAGTCATTATCTCTTACTGTAACCTACCTCACACATATTCATGTGATGATAAAATGGGGGAAACACAACAGAACACAACAGGGAAAAAATACCTTTGAAAAACAAGCAAGACAAAGTTGATAATTTGAACAAAAATCAGTACTTTTGGTCGTATAGAATAGGTATATTTCCCTACTGTTTAGAAAACATGTTTTTAGACAAGGGCATCACATGTCTGCTATCTTCTGAAGCATTTCATACTGCTGTGACAGAATTCTGGATTATAGACAAATATTAATCCATTGGTGAAGAATTCTGTGTAATTCTGAAGCTTGCACACTAACAAACTGTATCAGAAACATGCTAAGCACTGCATAGATCACAAAATTATAGGATACATGTTTACAGTTACTATAGAAAACAGGGATTGCAGGATTTAGATGGGGGAAACTCACAGTGGACTGGGAAACTGACATCTGAAAGAGCAAGCAGGCAGTTTAATCTGAGCCAAAAATAGAAGCTGCAAAGTTTTGAAGTAAATAATCATCACTTTCAGCAAGACTGACAAAAACTGAATGGCAATTTTGCAGATCTGAACCCTGGACGCCAGCTGAACAGAAATATTATTAATGTTATTAATATTAGTACATTCCAGTCATTTTTCCCTCTTTTTATAGTCATTCGATCTATAGCAAGCAGCATATGAAGTTTTTCACTTCAGGGAGATGAAACATTATCTTCTCTTAATGACTGCACACCAAGTTATTATTTAAGCCTGAGGAGCCCATTTGAGAAGTCTTTCTGGCACTTTTAAACACTGTCAAGGCAAAAATTATTCAGCTCAGGAAACGGTGCTCTCAGAACGGCAGAATTTGCACTTTCTGAAATCCATTCTATTTAAATAAAGTGTGTGGGGGGGGATCCATTCTAGATCCAAAAGTGAGAAGCACCAGTTGGTGATAAATTCCATTATTCAAATACAAGCTTGGTGCATAGGCAAAAAGGTAGTCGGGTTCAATTCTCTAATCTCCCACTCTTGGGACATTTCCTCCGAAATTAGTTTCAGAGAGTTACTCCCCAGATAAATGTGCACAGGACTGCAGTAACTTATTTCCGAGGGAAAATGCCTAAAACCAGGCTATCGGGGAGTTGCCCCGAGGATCTCTTTTTGAGCTCTTTTTAGGTAAGCTTCATGCTGCAATTTTATGATCACTTACCTCGAAGTAAGTTTCCTTGACTCACTGGGGCATACCCCGAGCAAACAGGCAAAAAGCGGGCAGAAAGATTTACAGCAGTTAGTTCCCAGTCTTT